TGTCCCAAAAATAAATAAGCGTGGAAAAAAAAAAAAAAAAAGAAAAGCAAACAAACGAATAAATAAATAAAATCACCTTTTGGCACCAAAGACGTCTCAAGGATCCTTTCGCAGCCGTCGGCTCAAGAATCCCATCACAGTCACAACAGTGGCCACGTGCCTGTGAAGGGGAATCATGCTGTGACAGTGTATATAACACAGGCTCCTCATTGGAAAGAATTCCCTGACTAGGCTCTGAGGCATGAGTAGGACCCAACTAGCCAGGGAAACAAGAGAGGCCGGGGAAGTGGATGGAAGTCTGCCAGGCAGGTGGCCACACGTGCAAAGGCCCTGCGGCTGGAGAGAGGAAAGCCCCCGTGAGGCTGCAGCATGGGGAGCTGAGAGGGTGGGCAGCCAGAGGGGAATAAGGAACGGGCAGGACTCAGCACACCTAGGGCCTGCAGATCATGCACAATGGGAAGCATTCAACATTTTAAACGGAGAGGGTACGCTCGGCTTTGCATTCTAAAGAATCCCTCTAGCTATGATATGGGGACGCTGGAGGAGGTAAGGCTGGATACGAGGAGTCCAGCCTGCAAGTCATCAAGTGATCCAGGTGAGGGACAATGGTCATCTAGGCCAAGATGGTGATGGAGATAAACGAAGAACGGCCTCGGGAGAGGAAGTGGATAGAGTGGCCATGATCGTGGATGGAATATGGAGGGTGAGGAAGGAGGCGGCTCAGGGAGGACCCCCGCCTGTGCTGGAGCCCCGAGGCAGAACCTTCACTGAGACAAATGAACAAGCGAACCCGGGATCTGGCCCATGTCTGGGTCTTGCGGTGAGCCGTCACACATCCTTATCTGTCTATATCATAATCTTGCAGGTGAGGAAACTGAGGCCAGGGCAGGACCCGGGCTCTCTGGACCTGCCCGCACCCAGCCCACCTCACGCCAACAGAGCTGGGAAGGCCTCATCCGTGGCAAGAGGTAAACACGTCTGGCCCCTAAGGCACACAGTCCTGGGCTTCTCAGAAGACGGGATGAGTAATTTTGATAATTGAATTTTTGAGTTAGACTTAAAATACAGCCAAGATTGAAGAGGCAATTTGGCAGGGTCGACAGCCCCCAGGCAGGTCTCCCTGCCTCCACGGTGCTGAGAGCTTATTAGCAAGATCGCTCTTCCTTCCATCCACAGCCCTTTTATAAGTGCTGTGTCGAGGAATCCAATTGTGGGCCTCCAAGCTCCTCTCTGGTCACCCAGAGACGTGTTGTTGCAGGAAAGAGTGGGAATACTTTGGCTTGTAAGGTAGGGGAAGGGCTGCAATTTTGTTTTTGTTTTTTGTTTTTGAATAGATAGCATTCTGGGAAGACAGGATAGTCCAGAGGACAGGATAGAGAACAGGTTGTAACAGGCTCGGGTTCAGATCCTGGCTCCAACACTTACTGAGGGGACGATCTACCCGTTCTCTCACTCATGAAGGGCACAGGGTAGTACAGGTTAATGAGACCATGCATAGCACAGTTACCGCTATGCAGGTGGGCACTGGCCCGGAAAGACCGGGATTACCATCCTGGCTCATGACAGGGAGGTGGACAGTTGAGCCGAGGTGGGGGCGAGGAGACTCCCGGGGGAGCTGGTAGCCCTGTGCCCCTCTCCCCCTACTTCTCTCTCTGTATATTTAGCCCCTGCAGCTGCTTCTCTGGGAGCGCCTCATCTCACATGGTGATTAATTTCACCAACGGGAAATTGACACATCCTCCTGAATTCAGCTGCTGCAAACATGAACTCTCCAGGGACACGGGAGCTTTCTCCAAGATCCAAATTGTCCTTATTGCAGTTTGTTCTTGGCCTGAGTCCAGTCCAAACAAACCAGGCTGCTCCTGCACCCCCCCAGAGGGGCCTTCACTAGCCCAAGGTTGGGAATATTTTACACGAATCTAAACTGGTGTTGTGCGGGGGAGGGGTGCAAAAATACACTTTGCTTCCGGCTACTGCCTTCCTGGAAAGTTGTGGGTGACTAAGCCAATGGCCAGCTGGATTCCCAGGGCCCCCTCCTCCGTAGGCGGTGCTCCCAGGCATGCCTGGGTCTCCCAGCCAGATGGACCTGGGCTGTAGCAGCATCCAAGTGGAATCCTCTCAACCCTTCCAGCTCCCCCACCCTTGCCAACGACCAAGTTCAGTGCCCAAGGGCTATGCAGTAACCATGTGCAAATATACCTACAACTTTCCCTGCAGGTACAGCTGAACCCAGCTCCCGCTTCCACACCTAGCCTAGGCTCTAACCACTCACTATACAGCTTACTCCCCACATCTCTCCCCCCACCCCCACACACACACTCGCATTTGGGCACAACCGCCATGTGAACTTTAAGTACTGCTTCAAAAATCTGTTTTGAGATCAGCCACTGAGAATCGCTAAGAGTCACTGATTTTTGGAAAAGGTCTCATTGTTCTGCGAGTTTCAGATTTTGGGGCTCACAACCTTAACCAGGTCTGGGCAGAAGGGGGATGGCTATCTCATGGGCACGGAGACCAGCGGGGGAAGCCAAGCCCCCTGCGGCCTCCACCGAAGCACACCAAGAGGCCTCGTGTGCAGATGGGGGCTTCCACTGAGGAATCTGTTCATGCGGCTTCGGGAAGCAGGAGCTGCTCCATTATTTTCTGCCGGAACCTGCATTTCCACACTCTGGCAAGTATTAAAATAAGGCACATCTGTGCAAGTAGTCCTTATGAAGGAAGCTCAGATGACAGGAACCCAAGCAGAGTGGGTCTCCGCCCCCACCCATTGACCCCTTGTCCCCCTTACTTCATGGGAAACAAAGGTCCAGAGGTGGGGAGCCCAGGAGCGGCCGGCCCCCTGACCCCCCGCCCCTGCACCCTGCACCTCCACTCCCTATACCTGTAACTCACAGCATCAGTCACCTCAGATCATCCCCGTGTCCCAGGGGCTGCGGGAGCAGCAGTGAGGACGGTGTGGGGTTTGGCAGGACAGGAAGGATCAGGGCCCAGCTGCACCACTCACAAGCCAAGGGCCTCGGACAAGTCACACGGGGCCAGAGTGGGGCCTGGTAAACCTCCTTAGGGACTTGGGCTCGGAGCTGAGGGTACAACTGTTTCAGGGGGAGCGGCATCCAGGGTCTGGTGGTGCCTTCTCTCAACACCTCAGGGTAGAAAAGGGATTCAGGTGTGGGTGGCAGGACTCAAGACGCCTGACAGGAAAGGAACTAAAAGCGAGGATCCCATGGACAGGGAAAGAGGCAGAGGGACCGGAGGTTAGGACCTCCAAGAGGTCAGAGGAGGGGACGAGGGAGCGAGCAAGCTGACGGACAGGAAGCGATAGTTCAAGGACAAAGTGTCAGAGTAACTGCAGAAGACAAGTAAACAAGTAAACAAGTGTCGCCCAGACACTGAAGCCCCAAGAGTGATGGCCAGAACGGGCACAGAGGGAGACGGAGTCAGGATTCAGAACGCTCCCCACCCAGGCCCAGCGGATGCCCAGGCGGTGGCACAGAGGTGGGTGGGGGGCAGCGAGGCCACAGCTGAGCAGCAAGCGTCCTGGCAGAGCAGGGCCCCTCAGGGCTGCCGGGGCTTCTGCTGCAAAGGGGGCTGAGCCCTACCTTGTGCATTGCTCAGGGAAACCATGACGCTCTGGGCAAAGGCGAAGGCTGAACATGAGGGTCAGTGGCAAGATTGTAGCAAAGCACCAGGCAGTGTTGTGGACAGGGGAATGGAAAGATCACCGTCATCTGGGGGACGCTGCAGTGACAAGTCCCCGCTCCGGGCCTCACCTTTGGATCTTTCCCTGGGAACGCACCAGCTCCGGGGACAGCTCTAGGATGTGACCATGTACTGCCCAGCGTAAGCCAGATACAGGCACCAGTGCCCTGGCCACGCCGCATGGCATCGTTCATCCCTGGACACCTAAGTGACCTGGACAGAGAGCCTGTGAGGTATCTGAGGGCCGGGCCACTGCCGAGACCCTGGCCTGTCCCTCTGTGGAGTTAAGGGCCTGGGCTCTGGGGCCCTACACGCAATAACCGTATCACCAAGTTGAAACGAATCACTCACTGAGGATCTTCAAACCGCAGGCTGGGCTGAGCACTCGGCAAATCCATGGTGGACACGAAGCCCACCGCCGTGCACAGACACGAGGCCGCAGCTCGTGGGGGGGGCACACCCAGCGCCCGGAAGCTTGAGGCCCGTGAAAAGCCTCATTACTGAGCATCTAAACGCTGTTTGATAACAGCCCTTCAACCAGCTTTAGGATAGAAAACATAAAGGGAAAAGTAGATTTCCTTCAGCCAGACAGTCCTTTGGTTTCCCCCTCAATAAATAGAAACCCCACTTGTAACAAAGACACAGCGTGAGCTCGGTGGGAACCACAGGCTTTATTGGCTGCAAGTTCTCCTCACGAGCCTGGTCGGCCGGGACTGGATGTTCCTGGGTGGGCACCCCCGGGCCTAAGCTAGGAAAAGGGAGGGAGAAAAGGAGAATTTTAGGTCCAGTGGAGGGTTTCTGAAGTTAAGATCCCTGACAGAGTTAAAGGCAAAATTGTTATTGTGAAACTACTTTCAAAGACATGCTGTTTGATCAGTAAATACTTATAGAACCAAATGGCAGTGAGATCATACTGCATTCATTCATTCATTCATTCACTCAAGAAACGTTTATCAAACACCGACTATGTGCCAGGCACTGTTTGTGGTATTCGTCCCTCGTAAAAACAGCACACAAACTTAATGATTAGAACAACCGCTGAAACCATGCCACGCTAAAACGAAACTTTTTATGTGCCACTGGCAGAAAAATAGAATCGTGGAGGACGTGTGTCCCAGTTCCACCTTCAACTTCATTTTTCCAAAGTAATTTCCTGCCCTGCACCCACTCCCCATGCCCCAAATGGGCTTTCAGTAACAGAACTCAAAGGGGCATTACCTCCAGGTTTCCTCGGGCCTTCCGGAGGATTTTGTGGGTTACGACCACTGAGGAGAAAGAAAGAACAGGGATCGTTAGACACAGATGCCCAGGAAGACAGCGTAAAAGCCAGCTGCAGGGAGGAGGCTCCTGAACCCCAAATGGGTCAGACAGACACGTGGACAGGCCGAGGCATCCAGACCCAGAGAGGGGTGTGGGAGGCTCCATCTGCCCCATCACACGGCCCAAAACCAAAGAATCCGTGGGGTACCAGAGACACCCCTTCACGTTCATGCTAGACCACAACCTCACAGCGATACCGGCCCATGTTTTAGGTAACAAAACCAAGGCTCCAGAAGGCTGGCGGGCGCCCAGGCACCCCAAAGCCTCACCTCTATGGGTCTGGGGGCCAATGGTGCAGGGCAGGGGAGAGCCCTGTGACTGACTAGCCCCCACACGCTGTGGTTTCTCTGGGAAGGGGGTGTGCCCGCCTCCAAGCAAACCCGTGTGCCAAGGCCCAAGGCAAGGGTCACGGGCAGTTCTGCAAAGTCAATTTTTACCCTTAGGGCGGGCTTCCCATCAGCCGAGGGAAAGCATGAGCTCTGGGCATTTTTCCTCCTTGGACTCCTTTCAGCAGGTACAGGAACCCGACGAGGTTCCCCGGGTAGGACGATTTCAGAGGTCCCGCCGACCGGACGCTCTCAGCTGCGTGCAGGCAGATCGTCAGTGTGTCAGAACCCCAGGGAGGAAGGGGGGTGCAGCCAAATGTACAGGAAGGCCGCTTCCTCCCTCAATCCTTTTCTTGTCCAGCACAAACACCGGCAGCAAGGGGAATGCCGCCACGGAAGAGACTTCTGCCTTGATTGGGGTCCTTTCTAAACAGGCCTTGGCAAGGGTCACAGATTCCATTTACTCCCCGGAGGAGACAGAACCAAGGCTTCTGGAATTAGGGCTTTGGCCAATGGTGCCCAAGGATGAAACAGACTCCCCATCAACACACATACAGCCCAACTCCCCAGCGTCTCCTTCAGAACAGGAGCCACGTGGTGGCCTGGGGAAAATATTTATTTCTTGCCTTACAAAAAAATTTCCATCTGGGGGTAACAAAGTCTGTTTGCAATCTGTGTCGCTGGGGGGGTGGGGGTGGCGGAGGGAGATAACCGGCGTGGGCTTCGTTTTTAACCGGCCGACGTCGATTTCAGAGGTGCCCACTGTCTCTCTGTGCCCTCCCCCACCCCCGGGCTGCAGACCCCTCGACCTGTGTGCATCTGGATGTGTGCGTTTTTCTGCAGCGAGAACTCACAGCTCTCCTGAGACCGGCCAAGGGGCCTGTGACCAAGAAAAGATTCAGCCTCCCAGGTGTGGAGGTTAAACATCACACCGGAAGAGTACCGGAGTCCCAAAGCGCCACGCTCCCAGCGAGGAGCCAGGGCTCACCCGCCCCCAGCTGCAGGAGCCTCACGTCTGAACCGTACCGCTCACCTCGCAGAGCCCAAAATCCCTGCTGCAAGGAGCAGCCTGGGAAGACAGCGCAGTGACGAGCTCGTCCAAGCCCAGGCTTGCCCGGGGCTGAGGTGCGACTCGAACCCACGACTCTCCCACTCAGTACGGGGCTCTTGCCACCTCACTGCTGGCAGGGAAGACACCGACCCAGGGGTCTAGCTTGCGAACTGTGACCTCAGCGAATACCCCCGACCCTGCGCAGCAGGCTCTCCTGCGTCAGAGGCCGTGAGGGAAGTGACACTTGTCCCTCCTCTCCCCTGCACGCTCCGGGACACGTGTCCGGCTTCGCTCCGGCACTGACCAGCCCCGGGGGCCTGGTTCTCCCCAGTCACCAGGTGAAGGCAGGCAGGGGAGGGGACACTACGCCGACTTCCGCTTGGCCCCTCAGAGCCAGAAGCAGCCCCGTGAGGCTGGCAGGGTTGGGGAAACGTCCAAGGACCCGACTCACTGGGATGAGGCACACAGCCCGGCCGGAGTCGGCCGCCCGCTGTGCGACCTTGGGCAACCCCTCACCCAGCTCTGAGCCGATCCCCGCTCGGGGCCAGGCCCTGGAGACACGGAGGTGGGTGACGCCATTTCAGCAGGGGAGGCGGTGTGAGACATTTGTGATTTTTTTGTATGAATGGTCTGCCACCTGCACACCCAGAATTCAGTCCGAGCCAACAGGAAAAGAAGAGGCAGAGAACTAGGGTCTGCTGAGCATCTGCTTTGTTCCCAGAGTATGACAAAGTTCAGGTATTATTACCATCCCACTTTACAGGTAGGAAAACTGAGGTGCTTTTTACAAAGTCGTGATTAGAACCCAAGCCTGTCTGGTCAATCTGAGTCCTTTGGAATTACCGTCTCCCGTGAGAAATGAGGAATCAGACGCTCGGGGAGCCATTTAGTCCAGGCGACACAGGACGGCACTCATTAATGGCTGCATGTCACTGAGGCAGGACCCCGAGGCTGGGATCTGTCCTCTGGATCTACCACAGGAACTTACACCTTTGAACCTACTGCCCGCTTCCCAAACTTCCTCAGCAGCAAGTGCCCCGTGACCCTTCGGGGCTGCCCAGGAGGTGCTGACGCAGAGTCCTCACTGTCCCGGACTTGTCCCGTTCTCCTGCTGCCCTGGGGTCGGACCCAAATGCTCCACAGCCGCCTCACACGTGGCCACAACTGGCACTGTCCCCCACAGGCCCCGCCAGGGCTCCTTTTCTCTGAGTGACACAAACGTCTTCACTATCTGCCCACCATCCCCTCCCCTCCACAGCCCCACCCCAGCCCTGCTGTCATGGGCGGGGGGGGGGGGGGGAATGCCACAGCCCCCACAGAGGTCCCTGCCTCCTGGCCCCTCCGCGCTCGGCCACAAGGACCTTCTAAGACATGATGAACACCAACAGCCCCTGGAGTCCACCCACAGGCCCCTTGGGACCTGGTCCCTATTTATCTCTTTCACGCGGTCTCTCAGGGCAAATCCCCTCGCACCTCCCGTGTTCCCGAATACTTAGTTCCCACCCTCGAGGCCACCTGCCACAACCCTGTCCCTAGCCCTTCTGTAACTCCTACTCAAGACCCAGTGAGTCCAGAGCCTCGAAGCACCGAGGCTGCGGGGGAGGCACCCAGCGCCTTGCCCGGCAGCTAACTTCCGTGTCCCCCTCATCAGGCCAGAGCCCTGTGCTGGCAGGAACGGTGCCGTCCCCAGAGCCCGGCACGGGGGCACGAGCAGGACGTTAGCGCTTGCTCCTCGACCGCGTCTCCTTCTTCCGCAGTTCGAACTCTGCCAGTCTCACGGAGTCCGTGTTCAGAAGGTCCCCGGGGGGTGGCTAAGGAGAACTCCCACCCGACCACAATCTAGGTTCTGTGCTTCTCAGAAATGCCACAGAAACGTTGGCCTTTGGTGAGCGAGCAGCACGGGGCAGACTGACACCTCCGGAGGGAAGGTCCGCAGTGGGCGGCCCTCCCACAACAGGGAGGGTGACGGGCAGACCGCGAGGCCGGCCAGGGCGGTGACGGACACGAGGGGCGCCCCAGGGCTGCGGGTTCCCACGATCTCTGAAGCTCCTGGATCGGACGAGGACTGACGTTACAAATGTCATTTAGCCTCTCTGAGCCTGAGTTTGTGGATCTGCCTTGGGAAGCAGGCCTCACAGCCATCCCCTCCCCTGGATCCACGTGGTGCGGCCGAGGCCCTCCTCCTCGCCTGCCCGGACCAGGGGAGCCGCGGTGACAGGTCCCTGCCCTACCCTGCGTGCCAGCCGCCCTGGGCCTGCCCTCTAAGGCCTTCACGCCGCAGTCCTGGTCCCAGCGGCCCCTCCAGCCTTGACCTGCCCCTCGCAGTCCTGCTCCAGCCACGTGAGCTGCTGTAGGTTTCTCACATATGCTTCTTGCCCCTCTGCACCGCTCCATCTGACCAACGCCTGCCCCTTCTGGCAGACTCAGCTCAGGTGTCACTTTGTCCAAGAAGCCCACCTTCCAGGACACTCCCCTCTCAGGGTTCCCTAACACCCTACCCCACACACCTGTGTCCCCACCGAGATGATGACTGTCCCTGGCACCACGTGGCCTCGCCACTGAGGTCTGTTAAGTGCATTTATTTGTCTGTGCGGGTCAAAAAGGTCGAAGTATGAAAGGAAACCCATAAATAGGAGGCATGAGGACACATGATCTGGGCTCCAAAGTAGGTGTCCGGGACTGGGGCTTTTTGTCCTCGGAGGCACAAAGTGGCTGGACGTGGCGGCCCGCCCCCCACCGCTCACTTACACTGGTCAAAGATGACTTTTTCCTGGCGCTTGCTCAGCTGCAAAAGCTTCACAGAGTTCTGCAACTTTTTTTCTTGTTCAAACAGCTTTTTGTGTAGTCTGGTGATCTCTGCCTTCATTTCTCCAGCCTCAGGAGAAAAGGAATTAGAAAAATGAACGAAGAGTACAAAACAGTGTATCACACAGGAGAGAATTAAAAGACACACAAAAAGAGGCGCGACCTTCCTGACGATGCTAGTTGAGGGAAAACTAGAAGCCATGTTCTGCTGGTCAGATGGGCCAAGTCCAGGGACAGCCGGGGTGTGGGGCAGGCACTCTCGTGGCCGCAGGCGCGGCCCGGGGCGGGGGGGGGGGGGAATGCCCTGGCAAGATTTACCAAACCGTAAGACGCACTCGACCTGCTGACCCAGCGATTCTATACTTGGGCATCTGCCCCAGTAAGTAACCACACAAGCACAGGAAGACGCCTACATCCCAGGAGGTTCATCTCCGTGCTCTTCATAGCAGGAGCCAGTGAACAACCTGCTTTGTTCCAACAGGGGTCTGGATGAGTAAATCGCGGGTCTTACAGACAATGGCATAACCAGGCGGCTGCTAAAAACGATGTTGCGGAACTCTATTTAGTGACGTCGAAAGATGATCACAATTAGTGACAAAAAGAGCCCAGAACAGCTATTGTATGCCAGGCATTCCTGTTTCAGAAAACCGCATACATCTATCTATATCCGTACATGCATATACGGAGATGTCTAAAAAACTGATGACGAAGAGACAACGTCAAAATGATTAACGGTGATTTAGCTCTGAGGGATGTGATTTAGAAGTTTTATTTTTCATTTTTTAAAATGTATCAGAATTGTGTGAGGTTCTGTTATGGTTTTTTACAAAAACTATAAAGCAAATTTTTTGATGGTACAAAAAAGAGAACGTAAAAGCATTATGAGGAGAGTTTAGTCCTTCGGACAGCTTCCATCTTTTAGAGGGGTGGGGAGAGTGCATGGGTAGCCAGAGTCCCCAGCTCTCCCGTGGAATGTGGACACCCCGGGGGCTCTCTCCACCGTCTCCAGGGAACTAGCTCACAGAGGTGAGGACCCTCCTCTCTCATAAGCCCCCCCACCACAGGCTACCCTCTGCTTCCGTGAAACACCTCTGCTCCCGAGAGGGCAGATGTTGGGCGGTCAGCTTACAAGGAACCACTTTACTTTGTTCCCAAACTTGTCTATAAGGCAATTGTACTTGCAATCGGTTACAGGATTTAATTAAGTATTAGTAAACCCATGAAATACATGCATGAGAACACAGAACTATGAAAACATATGCCTCAGAAAAGACGTGATAAAGGCAAGTCACTAAAAACCACGTTTCTGGCAAATTAGGTGTGTGTGGGGTGGGGGGGGGATCAACTCTGGAAGACGTGGGAGGATCGGAGTCTAGAAGAATTCTATATTCGAGTTGCCTTACAAGTGTCTGCGTTTTTTTCTTCATCTTAAAAAACAGAAACTGGAAGTGACAGACATACATTATGGATGTAGTTTATGAAAGAAGGAAGATGTGAAACCCTAATCAGCAGACCCGTATTCAAAGAAAAGGCCCCGGCCCTACATCAAAAGAATGCCAAATGAATGTACGTTGAACTGTTTTCAGTTAAATTACAGTGTTTAAGGTATGTATCATCTCTTGATTCCCTGCTTTAACCTACTTTCAAGATTCACCAATTGTGTCAGCTACAAGACCGTCAACGGTTCTTCCACAACAGACCTGAACTTAAACCTTCGGTCTTCTCTGATTCTCTTCCTCATGCTAAGAGCCCACAAAGATTTGTGTTCAGGTCATGGCTTCCTAGACCACACAACCTGGATAACCCCTGACCCATCCATCTAGAGTGAGACGCAAAGGAGATACACCTGCAGACAATGATTTATTTCCTCACCCCTGCCTGGCTAACCTCTAGTCCTCTTCCGAAAGTCACCTTGGGCAACACCTCCTCCAGGAAGCTTTCCTTGAGACTCCTCCCCACCCGGAGTCTAGGTTGGTTAGCGCTCCTTCGGGCACCCACTATGCCCAGCGCTCCCTCTATCACTGCCCATTTCATGTGGAACCGTAACTGGTCATCTACTTGTTTGCTGCTTCACCCAAGACCCCATTCTTCCCTCTGACCACCAGCGCCTGGCACACAGTAGGTGCTGCGAGACCCTTTGCCAACTGGTGGGTTAATTTTCACCTGCTCTCCCCAAACGCCTTATTTTTTTCAGAGAGAGAGAGCAAGCAGGGGAGAGGGGCAGAGGGGGGAGAGAGAGAATCCTAAGCAGGCTCCACCACGCTCAGTGCAGAGCCGACAGGGCTCAATCCCATGACCCTGGGGTCGTGACCCTGAGCCGAAATCAGGGGTCGGATGCTCAACCGACTGAGCCACCCTGGCGCCCTGCACCTTATACATATTCTATCCAGCCTTTAAAACGAGCAATTTTAATTGTGTCTGTCTGCTGCTCCACTGAACTAAAATCTTCATTTTTACAGGATGAATTCACCACGGTAAACACACAACAGGGCTCGACCCGGCTTGGTCACTTCCAGCTGTGATGATGACAAAGCAAGAAGTTTCAGTTCCTCCTTCTCGAAGGTGGCAATAATAATACCTAGCTCTGGAGGCTCCCGGAAGGGATGGAAGGAGGTGCTGAGTGCATAGCAGGGTGCCCGACACCTGGGAGAGTTCAAAAGACCAACTCTTCCTCAGGGCCACAGAGCCCAGCTCAGGGCTGGGCCCCACGCCCCTCCCAGCACGAGTAGGCGGCCTGACTCCTGGAGCTGGCTTTGGTAGTGGTTGGTTTTTTTCTTTTTTGTAATGAAAAATCTTAAACATTTACAAACGTCCCAGAACGGGATAATGAACCGCCAGGCACCCACCCAGCTTCGGCCATTATCAACTCACGGCCAAACCCCTTACGTCTCCGTCCCTGCCCATCTGCACCCTACAACTATTTTTAAATTCAATCCCAGGAGCTAATTACATTTCACAGCCATACAGTTGTTGGGTATATAGGTCTAGAAAAAAAAAAATCTATAAAAAGAAAAACACAACATCATCACTACATCTCAAATAATGACAGAAATTGCTTAATATCACCACATGTCAGGAGACACATTTCCCTGAGTGCATCGTAATTTTTTTGAACAACTGGTCTGATTCCCCAGCATCCAAATAAACTCCGTGTTTAGCACGTGACTGTACGTCTCTTAAGTTCCTTTTAATCCAGTGGTTCCCAGGGCTACCAAGACGACCTGTAAAAGCAGACCTTCTGAGTCAGCAGGTTTGGGGTGAGGCCCCAAATTTCCCTTTCCAACAAGTTTTCAGACGACACTGATGCTGCGTCCAGGGGGCCATATTTTGAGAACCGCCGTAAATCTGTTTTACTCCCTCTTTCCCCTCTTCTTCCCTATGATGAAAAGATGTCCGAGGCTCATAGTGTATGCTTCCGGCCCCAGACCTAGAATCAAGCCATTTCTCCAGGGAGTCCTCGTTCCCGTGAGTGGGGAAAGGTACTTAGAAACCATAATTCGGCGTTTGAGGTACTCACTGGTACTGGATTGGACATTTTTAAAACCTAAGCGTAAATGTTTTTAATCGGAAACCCATGAGTTCATGCTGATATTTTCAACTCAAGGATGGCAGGATTTTTATTTCTTTGATTTTTTTAAATTTATCTCTCTTCCCTGACAGTAAAAATCTTAATAAATTAGCTATTTGTTTGGTCCTCTAATAGAAATATGACAGTCAGCACCAATATCATTATTAACAATATCACTAGAAACAATCAAAAATGGTTTTTGCAGGTCCTTTTTAACCTCCGAGTAGTTCCATTAGGGATGCAGTCAAATTACCGTGTTCTAGGCTTGAAATGTTTCCTCTTTGCATGGGTAACGCCTTCAACGATGTGTACGGGAAGGTCTGTTTCATTTTGCTATGAATTTTAAGAGACTGCTTTTATTCTCATTTTGATTTATTTTTAATTAAAACGTTTACATAGTTTCAATGTCAAATGTGGCGAAACAAGGTCCATTCGGGAGAGAAATCTATGTTCTACGCCCGTCCTTCCAACCTCTTCCTTCCCACCTCCCCAGGTAGCCTGTTTTCTTGTGATCGTTTATTGTTCCAGCTAATCAAAAATTTTCTAAACACGTAGGTGTATATGTTCGTATCTCTCCTCACAACTTTCTTAGATAAACAGATGAGTAGGATACACACTTTCCAGACTAGCCCTCGGGATGGCAGGGGGGTGGTATAGTACATGCAAAAGGCAAATTAATGACAGAGAAAACCTTAGGTCATAAAAAAAAAAAAAAAACCATCGGGGTTGCTGGCGACAACTTGGAAATCTGCTTTACACACATTTCACACTAAGAAAAAGGCACCGTATGAAACACAGGCAGGGGCAGAAAAGTGGCTCGAGGCAATTTAACACCACACAGGGGGTCTGTTTCCACGAGCCATCGTATTGGAGTGTCTCTAAGGTCCATTTTCTGGCTCTCCAATTCTATGATGCTAAAGTGAGCATAATCAATTATATGACAAACGTCTGGAAAGAAGGGTGAGTCATCACAAGCACTGGCCAGTCGCCGGACTAGCTGGCCGGTGGGAGAGATCAACGTGTCTATAATTTATATTTATACACACACGAAATAAGAAGTGCGTTCCGTCTACTTAACAGACATTACTGTGTACTGAGGACAAAAACACTGCGCTGGGTTCCGTTCGGACACACTGTGCTTTATAAATCATACGGGCAAGTGCTAGGCTGCTAATATGAGAGAAAAACTATTCATTCAAACATATGAAAACAGCCATGGCCCCTCCTGGAAAACAGAGGAAACAGACATTAACTCTAACAACAAATATATAGCTTAACCAGGGCTGTGATGAAACAGAAGAGGATGCTACAACTGAGCAATCGGGGAGCCCTCTCTGACCTTGAGGTAACATTTTAAGCTGAGACCTGAGAGGTGAGAAGACGCCAGCCAGCGAGTGGGAGCCGGTGGGCCGGGGTGGGGGGAGGCGGGCAGTCAGAGCATCTGTGCTATCAGGCCTACGACGGGAAGAGCTTGGTGGGTGAGCAGAAAACAAAGGCCAACGTGGGTCTGGAGCCCAGCGGGCCCTCTCCCTCTCCATGGCCCCCGCCCCCGCTAGAAGTGGGCAAAACACGATTTCCCTGCGAAATGGCCAGTTACCTACTCCGCCAAGCTTCGTGCACCCACACTTCCTCCCCAGGATCCTGAGAGGGAAGCCTCAGGAGGGGCTCATGAGACCCTTCGGAGCAGAGAGCTGCTTCGCCGCTGCTCCCCTGCCATGACGGGGGGGGGGGGGGGGGGGCGACCCGAGCACCGTCAGAACGGGCGTAATGAGGGCAAGTACCGGCGTGGAACTCAAACTCCCCTCTGCCTGCCTGCTGGCCTCTGGCACAAAGTCACAGGTCAGGTAACTGAAGGGGAGCGAATCTGTCAGACCGCCAAGCACAGTTCTGACTCTGCGTCATCTGCGGGCCCTTCCTCCCAGGGACGCTTCTCTCATGACCAGAGTGGCTGTTCGACCTGCTTCCCGCGGACTAAACCCCAGGGAGCATCTGCTCTGCCGGACGCCCGGTCTGTGCCGTGAAAGATGGGGGTGAGGGCGGTGGTGGGAGCAACGGTTCTTAACTCAGTCACATTCAAGTTACTGCAAAGTCAAGCTTTCAAGGGAAGTTTCAGTGGTTTCACGATAAATGATTTTCATTGGTTAAAAAAAACAAACAAACCAAAAACCTTTCTTAGTAGTAGAAGAGACTAGAGCAAGACCCACTAAAATATGATGCCAGAAGCATCAGACGGTCCGGAGAAAGGCACCTAAAATGAAAGAGATTTAGAGTGGAAGGGAATGAGCTAGTCTATGAGGACAAACTAGGACTTAAAACCTAGTACAATAAAAGCGTATCTTTCGGATTCTGATACTTGTGCCTTCAAAACCAGCTCTGTACCCTTGGTCGGGCCTCTCTCCTGCAGCCTCAGCTTCCTGTACAAGATGCAGACAGGATTTCCCTCAACAAAGACGTACCAGGAGTGGGCCCGCGGTCAGTCAGGAGCACAGGCCGGCCCAGCAGAGGCGCTGGGGGAGCAGGTAAGAACACGCCTGAAGCAGCCGGCACGGCACCTGGCGTGTCACTCTTGACAAACAAGGCACCTTCCCCTCCCTCTGACTGTTCCCCAAACTGAGAGCACATCTGCCGCGAGCAAGGCTGTGTCCCCTCCTACCTGTTCACCCTGAAGCGAGCACTGGTCATTTGTGGGGAGCGAGGCCCTCCAGAAGAGCGTCAGTAACCTTGCGGCCTCTTCGAGGATCAGCTTGGCTGTGCCCACGCTGGTGACAAACCCGCCCGGGGGCGCCGAGTGTGGACCCTGCGTGAGGGGGAGGGGCGGGGGATGAGAAGGGTGTTACAGGCAGTCTTGAAAAGGATTATGGACAAGCCGGCTTTAACGGGCAGCGTAAATCTCCAGGCCACGGGGTTTGTATCCACACGCTGAGCGAGGGCCTGGGGCCAGACGACACCAATTTATTGTTCTTCAAGACTGGTGAATTATAGATTATGAGAGAATTTCGGTGGTGATTTCAGCCCAATCAATAACCACGACTAATAACCACCTGCGTTAACCGTATTTACTAGGCCACGAAGAGGGTCCGCGGGAGGGCGGTTCGCGTGGCTCGGCACCATGGAGCCTCTCCAGAAGGCACAGGGTGCCGAGGGCAAGTGACGGGACGGGAACGTTCCCGTCTCCAGCAGCCCCTGCGACACGGCCGTGTGCACACTGCCAATACCCAGTCGGGGCCGGCAAAGTCTCCCTCACCCTCTGCTGGCAGGGGCAAAGCCTACCTGGTGGGTGTCAAGGGCAAGAGAAAGCAAAGAACACGAGTCAGAGAAGGGAAAAGACAATAAAGTTCAAGAAGAAAAGAAGTTAAAAGAGCACTGTGTTCACAAGTAATAAAATCAGTACAAGATAAAACGGCCTACGTTTTTAGCTACCGAGTTGGCAAAACAAAACAAAACAAAACAAAACAAAACAAAACAACAACCCACTTACAAATCAAATCACGCAACAAAGACGCAAGTGTAGTGGGTAGGATACTCTCACTTGTAAACGGGGATACGAGTGATACTTCTGGAAAGTAATGTATCAACGGTGATCAGCAAGGGCTCTAAAGGGTTCACAACCCCTAAAGGGTTTAAAAGGATGTGCGCCACACCTTAACCAGGCGAAAGAGTACATAAACGGTGGTACATCCACGTGTTGGCTTCTTTGTCAGCCAAGAAGAGTCAAGTTCTAGAAAAATATTGAATGGGACAGGAAAATTGTTAGTATGTTAGCTGAGAGGCAAACAATGAAATTCATAGAAGTAGGAGTCAGTTGTTTTTTTTTTTAACATTTATTTATTTTTGAGACAGAGACAGAGCATGAATGGGGAAGGGTCAGAGAGAGAGGGAGACACAGAATCTGAAACAGGCTGCAGGTTCTGAGCGATCAGCACAGAGCCCGACACGGGGCTTAAACTCACGGACCGTGAGATCATGACCTGAGCCGAAGTTGGACGCTTAACCGACCAAGCCACCCAGGCGCTCCAGTAGGAGTCAGTTTTACTGAACTTCATGAATGAGCTGAAAGCGTGTGTGTGTGTGTACCAAAATTTTTAGCGGAGTGCTATGTGACGTTTTTACACTTTTCTACAGTTTCTAACCTTTTGTACACCAAAGATGATCAGAAAAGAACAATAATCTTACTAGTATTTACTACGTTCAACACCCATTCACCATGTGCCTGCACACTGCACACCAGGCCCTGTGCTAGGTAGTAAATACACGATAATGAGCAAAAGAAATACTATCCCTGCTCTCCTGAAGCTTATTACCTAGTGAAATATAAAATACGGAATTGACTCCTACAATATAATAAAACAAAACAAAACGGCAAATCAGGTATCGGGAAGCACGGGGCCTCAGTAAGGACCTGAGAACAGGGACCAGAAGATGTGACCCGTGGAAGCTTGGCGGTTGGGGGTCCGGCCGGGGAGGAAAAGAGAATCTGACCCCCGAGCCTTGGAGGAAGTGAATGGATAACTTTATGCCAAGCACCTGGCACGAGGTTCTTCAACAAGAGGTAACTTTACAGTGAGGAGGGTTCCGGGAGGACGAGGCAGGAAGGAGTGACCCCAGCGAAGAGACCTCACTAACACAGGTGACAAGCCACAACAAGTGCCCCCCACAGGACAGCCGCCCGGACTGGACCTGAGCTCTGAGCTTTGGCGGGCTACGTTTCCCAGACCCTCTTCCCAGGGTCTTCCCGAGAAGCTGTGCACCCTCGCCGTCTTAGGGCCCTCAGGCGGCCCCTGGGCGTGTTGCTCTCAGTGAGTACCTCTTGGCCTCCAGCCGTCCGTCAGCTCACCTTTGTCTCCAGCTCCAGACCTGCAGGGTGGGGAGCCTCTTGGATCTGAAGGGCCATCTCGGCAAGGAGCTTCTGGCCCTGGCCAATCTGCTGGCACAGGGCCTCGAAGTCCCCAGTCAGGCCCAGGACGTGGCAGCCGCTGTCGTCGGCCCACAGGCGGTGGCCAGGGACCAGGTGGGACGCGCACGGCGTGCCGGTGACCGAAGTGCCACTGCTGCAGGAGAGGGAGTCCGTGTCATTTCCGGACAGCGGCGGAGTCTCCGAAGCTACAACATGAGAGGGAAGATGTGAGATCTATTTGGGCCGGTATCCTGTGTTCACCAACGCTGAAGCCAGGCGGGAGGACGAAGAGAGGCCTTCAGACCCCAAGGCCACAAGGCACCGTGCCAAGGGGAGGCCTGGCTCTGGGGCCTCTGTTTGCGGATTACCCCACGCTGGGCTTATTCGTCTCACGGGGACAAGCTCGATTCAATTCAGCCAACACTTCTCAGGCACCCAGTCTGCAGAGACCCCTGATCTGCACAGATGAATCGGGCCAGTGTCTGCACTCCAGGAGCCCGTGGTCTAATCAGACACCATGCGGGAGGTGTAACAGCACGATGACAGAGAGCCAGAGCGCAGAGGGGAAAATAATCAATTCTCTGTGTGGGAAGGGAGATCAGGAAAGGCTTCCTAGGAGAAGCAACAAGTGAGCGGGCTTCCACACGAAGCAAGATTACACTAAACAGAGGTAAAGCCTGTGGTCTTTACCTTTGGATCAATAAAAGTCTAGACGAATAGCTCTGACTGGGGGCCTCCAGAAAGGCATGTCACAGACCAGTCTGCACTCAGGATGAGTCTCAGGGAGGGAACGGGGCTTGCACTGGCAGAGAATGGGACAAGGGTAGTCTGGAAAAGGAGGAGCCACACCGCACCGTCCCGGGGAGAGGAAAGTGCAGGCCCGTCTGCAGGACGGTGACCCCTCTGTCGGCAGCACGGATGCACAAGGACAGGGCTGGATGGGCCCAGTGAGGCTGGACGCTGGAGGGCCTTACAAGCTACACCAAGGCGGTGACACTTTTTCATCTAAGGCAACAAGGACCCAATGACGTTGCTAAGGTCGATAACAGCTAGGAACAGATGAACTGGCTTAGAGGAGGAGATCACCAGCTAGACGTGCTGAGAACATGAAACCCCAAATCCTGGCAAGCACCCTCTTGATTAGACCAGGGACCCCCTTTCGTTCAACTTAAAAAGTCCTCCTGCCAAACCCAATCGTGCCACAGTTACCCAGCCTTCAGCTCCGCACCTGACCGTGGTGGCGCCACCAGGAGGGAGTCAAACGGGTCGCAGGAATTATCTCCAGGCATGGGGCACTTGTCAGCATCTACAAAATGCAAAAGAAGAGAAGGAAAATACACTGTCATGGGCGTTTGAAAAAGAACTGAATGAGAAAACAGTAAAGTACCAGCCACACACGAGCATTCACTCCAATCTTCCTGGCATCCCCTCTGCAGGACACGGGGACACAGAGTGAGCACACCCAGTCTCCTCTCTGGAAGGACCCTCCTGTCCAACAAGTGAACAGGCAGCTTCCCTTCCAGGTGGTCAGGGTAAGGGAGGGAAGCACAGGGGCTGCGGGCCCTGGGGAGGGAGAGGGAGGCAGGGAGGCAGGCAGGCAGGCAGAGGGATGAACAGATGCAAAGGCACAGGGGACTGAGCACAGGACGCCTTCGCCTTCGGGGAGGATCAAGCAAGGGGTAGGCGGAGCCCAGGGCGCAAGGGAGGGCCCTGGTGGCAGCACGGTCAGAACAAAGAGGGCGGTGGGGCCCCCTCGAGGGCGTTAGGCAGGGCAAGGTCAAGCTGAGGGTCGTGTTCTGGACTGGAGCAGTGAGTCTGGAGGCTGCGGGAGCCACCCAAGCAACAGAGAAGAGGCCCCAGAGTAGAGATTGGGAAGCGATGCGCTGGAAACAGCATAAGGGGGCAAAGTCAGTTAGATGGCGAGGTGGCCTGCCACTCTGTGAAATCTCGAGAGCACTTGTACACCTCAACCCCCAGTGGCACCGTGGGCAGGATGGCACCGTCATTCAGACCTGGTGGAGGAGGGACGACCGAGGGGCAGGGACAGCAGGTGATCCAGCCAGAGCTACCCAGAGTGTGGAGGCACAGTGAGGACCGTGCCTAGTGTCCAGGCCTTCGGACACCCCACCAGCCTCTTCCCACCCAGCCGCCTCCAAGGGCGCACTTCATCTCCAGGGCCAAGGAGCTGGCCCCTCAGAGGGATTGCTTTCTGCCCAAAACAGCCATCTTCAGAGCAGAACTTTTGAACAAGCGCGCTTAAATACAATCCTGGAAAGTCTTTTGCAAAGGAAGAAAGGCCCGGCCGAAGGAAGAATTCCAATGCCCACTCGAGGACACAGGAGCACTTGCGGCACTGGGACAGCACGGTGGATTCTCAACACATTCTCCCGGGTCCTCTCGCGAGGCACACCTAGGCTGACCCCGGACCGGTTTCAGAAGCAGCAAATGCTGTTCAATGGCCGCCTCCCTTCAGCTGCCCCAACTGTCCCTCCTGTGCAGCCCTGGTCCTGGATCATTCTCCCTGCCCCAAAGTCCCCAGAGCACCCCCCTATCTCCTCAGTCCCATCTCCGCTAAGCCCGAAGTAGGGCCAGGAGGAGCCTACGTTTAAAACACAGACACCCACTACTGATATACATCCCACGCAAAAGGAGGCAACGTGGCTCCTTTCCAAGTCTTTTGAGATTCCACTAGTAGGATTTTATCCTAAGAATGCTGTTTAACAGCAAAAAGCATATTAACATCGACGTTTATTAAAGCTCCAAATCAGAGACCACTTTAATAATCACCGCGGTAATGGTTTTGTGACTGGCGATCATCTGAAAACAGTAATTAGGAAGCCCGTGTGAAAGACTGGGAACCATTCATGATGCAACACTGGGCAAAAACAAAGAAAGGCCATAGAATGGCACAAAACCCAGCGTGAACAATATAAATTCACACTGGCATGTGATTATCAAATGAAGAGAAATAACGCAAAGCAAAATATTATCATTCTGTAGAATCATGAAGGATTTTTCTTCACTTTTTTTTTTTCATATCGTCACACCATTTTCTGGTTAAAACTTTAAATTCTTTATCAAGGAGAAATCAATAAATCGATCACGGTAAGTTCTAAAGCACACTGGGTGCTCTTTAAGAGACTTTAATTTCTTTTTTTAATTAAGGGCAATAAACAGAATCCCCAATCCCAGCAAAGACCAAGTCCAAACTTTTATACAGTATTTTTGTATAAACTATATTGACATTCCTTGTCCCACTGGATGTGCACACCCACGCCGCGGGTATTCGGGTGATGACCCCGGACACCTGAGGCTCCGTCGGGTCAGGCGGTGCTCCAGGGACAGCACTGGACTCGGGAGCTAAAAGATGATTTCCAGCTGCAGCTCTGCCCCTATTTGCCATGTCACTTTGGGTGAGCCCAGTACCCTCTCTGGGTCTCAGGCTCTCCATCCATAGAGCAAAGAGGATGGCCTGGCCAACTGCCTTAAGTCTGACCACTTTCTGGCTTGTTCCTGGCTCTGTGCTGGGCAAGGGACAAAGGAATGATAGGGACCCGCTCCTGTCCTTTTTCTGCTACCCTACACAGCTTCTGCAGGGCTAGACAATAAACCCACGAGCAAATGGCAAAACAGAATCAGTTTTCAAACCTACCGGGATGCTTTCAGATCCTGAAAGACACTAAGAGCCAGTGTAATAAGTTTAGATTCTTTTTAAAAGGCAGTAAGAGGGACCAAAAAGGATTTTCAGTGGAGCGATATGGGCAGGGCTAAATGGATGGGGGATGGGGGACGGGGGACGAGACAGGAGGCGAAGAGAGCGCTGGCAGCCCAAACTCCACCTCCCTGAGAACCGAGGGCCCCGGACGGAGATCGGACCACCCTGCCAAAGGTGACAACTGCTCAGTGGCCAGGCCCCTGGCTCCTGGGGTCCAGCATGCCTGCAGTCAGCGGAGGGACACCTCCACGGGGCAAGGGCACCATTCAGAAGCTCACGTGTCCCAGTGACATGCACAGGGCCGCAATCTCAAGAGGTTAGGAGGTGCGGGGGCAGTACCGTGCTTGCCCAGCTGCAGGGGCCACTCGGGGACACAGGGGGTCTGGAGAGCCCCGGTGAGGGCTCCTTCCTGAGCCTTCTTCCCCTCCTTCGCCAGCTGCCCCTCCAGCTTGCTCTGCAGCATGCTGTTGGTCTCGATGCTCCTTTCCAGCTGTCCCCGCAGGGCCTGGATCTCTGTTAGGAGACCGTGCAGGTCGCTGAAAGGGTCCTGTCCCCTCCAGCCTTCTCCTGATGGCTCTGGAAACAAGCGCAAAGGGAAAACCTTGAACGTCTTCTGCCTCCAAAAGGTCAGCCATCAAAGGAGCGCAACAGGGTCTTAAACCCGCCATCGCCACCGCCCTCCCCTTCCTAAGAACTAGGTACAATTTAAAATAACAACTTGACTTAAAAACAAAAATATTGGCAGACTTAATTGCCGCTATTCCACAGCCTAAATAAGAGCTGGAAATTAATTTTCGCTTCTGGCCATAAAAGCCTCGCAAATTGCACACCAAACCCCGAAATTATGTCTAGTAGTAATAAAATCTATTTGGGCTGGAATTATAGAATGAAAGGGGCTGATTTTAAGAGCCACAGTATATTAAAAAGGCACAACAGCAAGAATAAGAAAAGTGACTTGAGGAGAAAATGAAAGCTGTGAGGTGACCCTTTTCTAGCTAAACTTTCAATAGGGAGAAACCATCTGGAAAATTAGTTAAAAAACAAAACAAAACAAAACAAAAACCCTAGCACACCTCAAAAAAGATTCTGAAACATTAGCCCTGACAGTCAAGTCCCTCTGATCTGGTGTCTAGAGGACCGGGGCGAAGCACCATCCCGCAGCAATGCCCTGCGATGTGGTAGGTGCTCCATAATCATGTGCTGAATGAATGGACGAAAGAAACACGCACTAGCAGGAAACGTGTAATCAGATTATTCCTTGAGTGTGTACTGTGTCCCAGGCACTGTGATAGTGTGCTGTTCAGAAATGAGCTCGTTTAATTCTCAAGACTCCACAGAACAGACATTAGGACACATGTTTGATGGAGGCAGAACCAGGCCCAGAGGGGCGAGGCGACCTGCGGAAGGTCCCGCGGCCCGGGAGCGAGGCAGAGAGAACCCAGGCCTCGGCTGGCCTGACCCCCCAGCCCGCGTCCTTCCGCGTTTCTTGCTGCTGCAGAAGAAGAGTGGGCCCGAGGGGCTCGCTGCGAAGCGTGCCCCTCCGCCCGGGAGGCAAGCCTGGGTGTGACGGCGGCATTCCGGAACGAGCGGCCAGCCCTCAGCCCCGACGCAGCAGCCCCAGGACGGGAAGCGCCTCGGGCAGCGCGCCCAGTACCTCTCGGCCTCCTGTGCTCCTCGTCCAGCTTCGCGTACACCTTCAGCTCCACCCGCAGGGACTGCAGGAGCCTGTCGTTCTGGGAGAGCAGCTGCTGCCTCGACTTCGCCTCCTCCTGCACCCTGGAGAGGCCCCCCGGCCACAGGGAGGGGACGTTAATTCTGACGCACGGGGACTTGCTCTGACTCCACAGCCGGCAGAGTGTGGACGAGACTGACAAGCGTGGGTGACAATTCCAGTCACGGCCACTCCTTCCTGAGCGGCCCCCTGGGCCCGGCCCGGACGTGCGTGATCGACACCCAAAGCGTACGTGCTCTCAGTCCCCAGTGCACAGATAGCATATGAGGAAGTGAAGCTTAAAGGTTACGTCTCACCCAGGGGTGCAGAGCTCGGGAGGGCCCGGGACTGCACGATGGCAAGAGAGCGATCTTGCTGGGGGACAACTGGAAACATGGGACAAGACAGAGACGAGGGGAAACTGCAAAGGGGACGGGCAGTACGAGCCCTTTCATATCTAAGTCGGACAAACGTCCCTCCTCTGCGCAGACTCCCCTCCGTGGCTTCCCAGTCACTCAGAGTGAAACCCCAGTCCTCCCCACGGCTGGGAGGGCCTACGGGACTCGGCACCCAGCCTCTCCGGTCCCCCTTCACTCCAGGCGCACTGGCCTCCCTGCTCCGCCCCGCACAGGCCAAGGACACCCTGCCCCAGGGCCCCCACCCCTCCGCTGCCTTCAGGTCGCCGTTTAATTCAGAGAGGCCGACCCTGACGTCCCCCGGAGAAAAACAGCCGTCTGCCCCCCCAGGCCCTACCCTCCTCCCTCAGACGATTCTGCTCCTTGTGCTTTGTTCCCACCTGACGTCGTGTGCCTGGGTGTTTGCTGGCCTTCCCCGGCACTTGGGCAGGGGTCAGCGCGCCCCAGGGTGACCCTGACCGCTACCTGCTCAGTTCGTCGCGGGTGCTGCACACTTCCCGGAGCAGCTGCTGGGAGTGCCTGTCCCGCTCGCAGACCTCCCTCTGCAGCCTCTCATTCTCCTCCTTCAAGCAGGCGTACTCTCGCCGAAGGAGCTCGAGGTTCGCAGCCTTCCTGGAGAGGGACTCGCGTAATTTCTCATTCTCCTTCTGTTTATCTGCAAACACAAAAAAAGCACCACTGAGAAGAGACACCATTTGTTTTTTCCAACCCTATTACGCAAATACGGCCCTTCAGCTCAAGCACTCCAGGAATACAAAGCAGAACGAGATTTAATCTGGCATTTATGATTTTGGCATTCCAATTATCTTATGCATTTTGGGCAGATAAATCTGTCAACATCAAGGCTGCAGATTAAACGTCACTGGGATGAAATGGGCCTGTTTAATTTTCTATACAATAATGGGCCGTGCAAACCTAGTTACTTTGCCGTCGCGGAGCAAACCGTGGGTATAAATTATAGACACAGGCAAGAAACAGTCCCAAACTCTGGCAACGGATGTGAGAAAAGTCCGTAAGCCCTCCGGTAAAGCCAGCAGGGCTGTGCAAAGGGCAACCTGGGGCCCCATCTGCTCCTCAGCCCAGGAGAGCACCTCTCCTGATGGAGAAAACACGCCCAGGACCCAGAGACGGGGCAGTTAAGAGCACGCCCCGGGGGCACAGTGGCATGTTCAAGTGCACTCTTCTGCCTACTCGGAATCTAGGGACAGAGAGATTAAGACTTCCTTCCCCAAAGTCACAAAGCCAAAGAGGGGCCGAGCTTTTCAGGTCCCACTCTTCGCCCCGGCATGCTGATTGCTGAGCAAGTGCTCCCCTCCTCCTTCACACTCCAGCCACAGTGAGCTTCCTACAAGTCCCGAGTGGTGGATACTCTCCCTGCCACTAATCCCCAGGCCTCTGTCTGCTCTCTTTCTTCTACTTAAAAGGCCCTGGCTCTTCTAAATCTTAGGCACCTTGGCTAATCCCTGCTGAGCCTTCTGGACTGAGCTCTTGAAGCCGAGCCTCTCCTGGGTGTTGTGCTCCCTGAGCCTGCCTTTGTCAAGCCTGATCCTCATGCTGGCCTGCCACGGGCTGCCCGGCTGCCTCTCCCATCAGACCACGAGTCCCTCGAGGGAGGGGACCAGGTCTCATTCATCTCTGTATCAGTCTACACAGGCCCTAACATGTCTGCTGAGTGAATGAATGATCTGCAGAAGCCTGGATTCTGTCTCTTAAGACAACAGCCACATCAGTATCCTCTAGGGAAAGTAGAGACGCTGACCCACGTCCCAGCTCTGCCCATTTCTAGACAAGGGACCACCGGCCGGTCAACTCCCCAGGCCTCAGTTTCTTACCTATAAAACAGGACTGATAATTCCTCCTTCCGGAAACATCTTAAGTACTGAGAGATACTGTAGCTCTTTGGGGACTAAGCTCCAAAAAGAAAGAATTAAGAGAAAGGATCTTCCTAAGAAATACTAGGGGCACCTGGGTGGCTCAGTCGGTTAAGCATCCGACTTCAGCTCAGGTCATGATCTCGCGGTCCGTGAGTTCGAGCCCCGCGTCAG